TGCTCACCACCTCTGTGTGCAAACACAGAACACTTCTCTCCATTTCCTCCTTCTTTTATTTCTCCTCTCTCTTCTCCTTTTGCTCTTCTTAATGGCATCTTTCAATTTTAGATAATGTTCCATGATTCCACAAACTGACACTTTATATCATATATATATATTCAGATATGGTTTTTTTTTTTCTTTGTAATGGCTGCTTAGTATTTCTATCAGGTTATTCTTCTAAACAAATGTTTAGACTGTGGCTATTCTTCGAAATCACAAACAATGTTTCAATGGACATCTTTACGTTCACACGCTTGTTAATTATTTCAATAGGACAAATTATTTGAATTGCAATTATAGTAACATTTTTGCACATTCAAAATTTTGATACTTATTGCCCAAATTCTTATCATGTACTAACACTTAGCTACTGAAAGCTCCTACCAGAGTGTACAAATACCTGTATTTCAACAGGGTTGATAGCAAGGTCAAACTATGACTATGTATTTTCAGCATCATATCCTTCAGTAATTCACCATGGTTTTTGCATGAGAAATCTCTTTCACGATGGCTCATCTGTCCACCACTGCAATCTCATTTCTTACTATGTGTTTTTCATTCCTCTTCTCCAATCATACTCTTCTACTCTCAGACCCTGAGTGTAGTGTGCTGTTCTAGGACATCTGCCTTTCCATACACCAGAAGCAGACATAAGACAACAGAAGCAATATTCATCACCAGAGGCATGTCCATAATGCTACATTTTCATGCAAACCAACACTCTATTTATCTAGTGAGTTGACCATATACTTTATTATCTGCACCAAAACTCTTTGGGAGTGAAAGGTAATTCTATTCATAATTAAGCTGAAAACAGCCAAAAACTATAGCCAGGGCCTATATCACCCTACAGAGGGACCAAGGTAACAAATATCCACAAGTTGAGATAATTGGACAAAGATTACCTCTGCAGTCCAAGCATTTCAACTGAAGGCAGGAGATATGACCAATGTCTCAAAATAGAGGAAAGAAATCCCAACGCAGTAAAAGGCTGTTGTGGCCCATTCGTGACTTGTTCAGATCTTCAATTCAACATCGTGCATTTTTTAAAAGAACTTTTGTTTCTTAATGTTACATAACATAATAGTACATCTTAGGAATCCTAGATTTGAATGAAATTTATTTAAATTATTTTTTCAAACATGCCTGTGTCTGAAACTTCTTTAAATTCCTGTCCTGTGCACAGTGTTTAGCAAATAGCAAGGGCCAATAAATGATAACGAAGAAATGACCGTAATCACAACCAAGCTTTGGTTGTTTTAGCCCACTAGGGAGGCGGGGTGGACTGCCACAATTAAAGTTCTTATGTAAAAAATGTGTAAAATGATAACCAAAAGAATCTGTTCTGACCAGGTCAGCTAAATTACAGTGTCTTGGGAGATCTGGGATAAATCAGTAGTCACATCCAGTAGTCCTAGACGACATTATCATGAGACCATTTTACTTAGAAGCAGACAAGATGTTGCCAGAAAGCTATAAAATGACTACGATGTAATCCTTCCCCTAGATCTCTGCATGTAGGATGTAACCTAGTAACAACCTCCAATCTGCAAGTCCTATACAACCAATAGAAAGCCTGATGAAGTAATTAGGCGGGGATGTCTTTCTCTCTCCTTTGACTCTCCCCTGTTCTTGTGATTATAAAGTGCTAAACTCTGCTAGCTATCTGATTGTGTCTTCCCGGTTACAATTGTGATAGTGGCCCAATCAATTCTTGCTATATATATTTGGCCTCAGTTTCTTCCTTAAGTTAACAATAGCTACCTGCAAGCCACCAATCCCACAAATCTATATATCATTTGGGTCCTAAAAATGGCCAAATATATTGTTTGTATATGTTTCCACATAAACAAAACATTATTTTCATAGAAACATCTATTGCATGTAACACAAAAAGTGCACTTGTCACTGTGCAGCTCAGTCGTGGCTAACGTGCAGTCGGCTTCCACGTCGTGTGTTGCTTTGTGTTTCACTGTTCTGTATTTCTGATGATGCAGGTTACCCAGCAATTTCCATGAATGTGCAGACTTACAAAAATAATATTCCAAAGTCTAGATACTGTGTTCTGCTTGTCTTAGCAATTTCGTAAGTGATGCTTTGATGTGGGTATTTGAAAGACGGTGTTAATGACCTGGTAATTGTTTATCTGGTTTCCTCTGAAGTGTGAAGTGTGCTGACAGCTGTCAACAGGGTGCAGCCCCTCAGGCAGTGAAGGGAGAGGAAGGGAGCACAGGATTTCTACCCTTCTGAAGATCATTCTGTGCTCAGCATCTGAAAAAACCTAAGGGGCAGGAGAAGTTAAAGAATAAGTCATACCTTTGTTTTAAAGGTGCTTACAGTGGAGAGATGAAATCTTTGTTTTCGTTAACAGGAGACACATGCAGCACACACTTTAGTGTTCTTGTGGCAGCCCTAAAGTCAATAAAGTGATTTTGAACTTTTCTATTTGTAATAGGCTTGTGTGTGTGTGTGTGTGTGTGTGTGTGCAAGGAAAAGTCTGTATTTTAGTTGACAGTTTTTGCTAAAGAACTGAACCAATTATATCATCCCACAGGATCACTTCTAAATTTTAAACCTAACAAACTAAAGTGTTCTTAAGTAAATATTACATTTTTATGAAATCCATTTAGGACATTTACGATTCCAAATAGTTCCTGTCTGTGTTACTGAGTATTATGCGGAGTCTTATGTAGTAAGTGTACGTGTGGTATAATACAGATTTTAAAATATCTGAAGCATAAATTCACTATCAGCTGCCTCTGTCTTACTCACTTTGTCCTTTGTCAGAAATAAAATCACCAGTTTTAATATTTTCTCATTTACATTGGGAGAATATGATCCTCTCAAATATTTTCTTTATGGAAGCTGTTTTAATCTTACCTTTGGCTGACTGTGGAACCTTGCACAGTATGATTAAAATGTTCAACTATATATATTTCATGGAAAAAGATCTGGCACCAAAGTTGTGTGTCTTAAAACTATAATCTCTCTCTCTCTCTCTCTCTCTCTCTCTCTCTCTCTCTCTCTCTCTCTCTCCATGTGTGTATGTGTATATATAAATCTAAAACTGTATGTATAGATTTAAAAAGTGGAAGAAAAGGGAAAATTCAAGTTCTGATTGGCACATATTTTAAAAAATACTTTCATATATGAAATATAAATTATCAGTGAGAGTGTATAGGTACCTACATATGTATTTTAAATTTAGATTTTAAGCATGCATGCCTTGTGGGATTAAAGAAAATGAACTACAATTACACAAATCTTCAGCGAAGCAGTTTCAGCAAGCCCATCCAGATGTGGGATTTAAGGACAAGGCTCCTGAGTTGCCCATCTTTCTCCACCTCCCTGAATTTCCAGGGCTCCGCCTGCCCCCACCCACCCTCATCAGAGATGGTGACTGAGAGTGAATCACTGAAGCTTCCGTCTTTCGCTCCACCTGTGCAGAAGCGTTTCCCTCCCGCTCTGCTTGTCTCCTGGCCCAGGTTTTGCTCACAGTTTAACAACGCTTGCCGTTGTCTTTCACGGGTCCTACTGCCGTAGCTGAGGGTGGCTCCAGCACGTGCACTGGTGGTGCCCTGGCTGCAGATTGCGTGTGCACGGTACTCCTTCCCTTCTTACTGGCTCGTGTGGAGTTTCATGCTTCTGATAACACCACAGGTGCTCTGGGTGCTTTCCCTGAAGGCCCTGTCCCCATCGCTCTGTTCACCACTGTCAGGTTATTGTTGAAGAGTGTTCCCTTGAAGGCATCCCAGCTGCTGCATGGTGCCCAGTCTTTCTGGCTGATCGTGTGGTACTTCCAGCCTTCCGAGACCCTTCTTAACATGCTGTTCAAATCGCTTCTGCTCACCTTGTAGATTTATTTATCCCCCACCTGACCCCCCCCAAATCTTTTCCATCTGTGGAAGTTCTGAAGCTTTCAACACTCTAGTTAACAAAGCCAGGTTAAGGTAACGAATCTAACAGACCAGGAAAACTTAGGTGCCTCATCACTGGCTGTATCTCCTGCTTGGTCAGCTGGTCTCTGGACTGACCACAACTGTTGACACTGTCACAGGAACAGTAGCTTCTGGTTGCCATCAGAGCATGGACCGTGGGGTCACCAGTTCTGTCAATTTCAGATTTCTGTGTGCTGCCTGCCTTTCTGCCCCCCTCCACCTGGCGCTGGCTCACTGCAGCCCATTCTGTCCCAACACCAGCTCCAGAACTCTCTCCTCATCATCCTCAAACCCAACTGTGTTTGCACCACCCACTTGCCAACTTGTCGTTAATGTTATCTTACCCTCTGCTAACTTCATATCAGACTAGTCTGAATAGTTTCTTAAGATGTTTCCTGCCACTTTCTAATGTGTACCTTTCTTCTCATCAGCTTTTCTTTCCTTTGCTGTTTTGAAATAAAATATAACACTTCTCCCTGCCTCCTCAGTTGCTCCTCTTATAGAGAATTCTTCCCTAACTTCTCTTTCTATACTTTATATATTATGTAAAATGCTGACCCAGACACTAATGAGATACAGTAGTAAGGAACTCATGATATAACCCTAAGAGCACACAGTATCATTCAAAATTATGAGTGTTTACTTAAATTATTTTTGATAAATAAAACATGTAGAAAGTAATGTCATCCATAATTTCATAATTAAATATACAAACAAATTAAATGCTACTCTGTGCCCCTCTACATAGAAATCTGCCTTTCCATGACTATATAACCATTAATATTGTGCATATGCTTGTGTGTGTATATGTGGTATATGTGTAATCATTTTTAATGGGAACATGAATACTGTAAACATTATTCTCCAATCTTTTACTTATTTTTCACTTAATAAAACATGAACATCATCTAGATCCATTAATTTAATGTCTACTTCACTAGGTCTACTTCACATACTTCAGTGTCTTCAGAATATTTGTAACTATGGGTGTACTAAAACTTGTTTACCCATTCCAAGTTAACAGATATTCAAGTGGCTTCTGAATTCTTGCATACGCAATACTGTGATGGAAATCATTATTACGGTCGTTGTTCTGAACAAGTAAGAATTGTAATAATTGGATATTCGAAGTCTGTATCACAGTCACAATCTTGCCTTTACAGTGCTATTGTTTTGAGGCACCTTTTATAAATATCTCTTACAGATTCTTCGCCTAAGAGTAAAGAAACTAAGACACTGAGCAGATGTAGGATTAGATTATGAATCAACTACCATGGCACACACTTTCTGTCACAAAGCCGTTTAAAAAGGCAGCCAGTGACCTCCAAACTATTGTAAAAATCCCTGAAATAAAATGGCTAGCATATCTGCATTTCAGCAAGCTTGTGGTGATGGTACACCTGCAGCTCTGAAATATTGCTTTGTCAGTGCAAAGTCTATCTTAAGTATATTCTCATGGACACATAAATTAATATTGCATTGCATTTAGACCAACCCTACGTTAAAGAAAGACTTTTGGAGTTGGTCTTTTTTTTTCTTTCCTTTTCCATAAATCCTTTGTTGGTTGGTTGGCTGGTTTTAGAAATAATATCTGTTGCTTGAATATATTCGACTCTTCAGTGTTCCTCTTTAAAATCACCAATAAATGACAAACAATAAGTGACATCTCTAAATAGGTGGTAAACTACTTCTAGAATATGAATTCTCTTCCATGTTATTTTAAAAACTTACAATAGATTTTCTACCTCCTCTAACAATCAAGAAATAAAAAATATTTATTTTAATTTTAAATAGTGAATCTTTTAAAATTAATTAATTTCAAATAAGATGTCTCTTAAAATTAATTCATATTATTCTTATTCTTCTCTACTAAAAAGTGGAACTACATTTTATGCCAGTTGAGTTTATGTAGATCATTCATTCTCTAAAACCGAGGCAGAGATGAAATAGGGATGCACCCCAGGCAGGCGCTCATGAAATTCAGACTGGATCAGCACTGCCACCTCTGTGCCTGGCAGTTAATAGACTCACAATGTGCTGGCAACAGCTTAACCACCCCACCCTACCCTCAGGATAGAGAAACACCCCTGTCCCAGAACAATGTATGTACCCTCCCCTTAGGAACGCAGGGGCGTTCTCACGTTCTCTCCAGGCCGTCTGTGTGCACACATGGGCGCTATGCTCTCTGCACGATGAAGTCCTATTATGTGCATGTTCATTGGTCTCTCTCTCTCTTTTTTTTTTTTTTTTCCTCTCTCTGGCTGGGTGCGCTCACCATGCTGTGGGCTTGGATTGGTCCCAGGTCAGGTTCTCCTCTCTTGGTTTGACCAAGGACCTAGACCAGCCGTCTGGTTGCAAAACAGCAGATACATATGGATTATGGGAACAAAGTATGTTAATGTAAATATTTTTGCAACAGAAAGGATCTCTGTAGAATATGCATTAGATGTGAACTCTCAATTCATTACAATGTCATATTTCAAAATCCCCATATCTCCCTCACGTTATGGTTTATCCGTATCAAAAGAGCTTTGGTGTCTTCTTAGCAAAGTTTTCAAATACATAAAGACAGGTTATCTCAATTCAGAGGAACCTTTATAACTGCCTAACAATATCACTTTACAAAATACACATAAAGTTTTAAGAACTATTTAATTTAGCATATACTACTTATTTTAAAATGTTGTGATCTAATTTTCCTGAATTTTAAAATATTCAAATAAATTAAAAAAAGAAAGAATATGAAAGTACTTTTAAAAGTCATGGAAAAATAGAATTAAAAGATAATATGAATCTTTGTATGAACTTTTTGAAGTACCCTCATATAAAGTGATCTGATTTCTTCATGCTATGTGGATGATGAATATTTACATCAGTTTTCAAACTTTCTCTGTGAGTATATATTTTTAAGTTTCTAATAATTCCCTCAGCCCTTCCTTCCAAATCATAATACTGTCTTTTCCACAGATAGCATGATCCCTGTGCAGGAAGTCACATCTCTGTGTCTTAGAGGTTAGGATGGATTCAAAGCTCCTCTATGCAAAGAAGTTCTTTGCCACTTGTTCTGAGATTTTTGCCATTTCTTCCAGCAGTTTGGAACATGAATCTGCAAATCTCTTTATGTTTTTCTAAACAATTGCTGTGAAACTTCTTTCTCATTCTGGAGCTGGTACATCCCAGCCACTGTGGAACTCATGAGGTCTGTCCTCAGGGCCCACAGTGATCAGCCTTGCTTTTCAGTTCTAAAACCAAGTCTGGAATGACAGGAGTTCACACACATCATAATTGGCATGATCATATCACATAATGCATTGTATTATCAACACTCATTATGAACTTTAACACAGAACTGATATGATACACTGCCCTGAATATCTCGTCATCATTATGTCTTTGTCATGTAGGATGACAAACCATGCTATACTATGGTTTAGTATCAAACATGGGCCATGAAAAGCATAATCTATTTTCAGGAAAAACTTTTATACCTTTACTAAAAAAATAATACACACACACACATATGAAAACAAAGCTTTACCATTACAGAAGCAATAATTAGGTAAATATAGGTTTTTACAAACATGGTTGCAATGAAAATCATGTATTCAGTAAAATCTGTTTTGTTTTCCTAGGTTCTCAGTGGGCAGATTAGTTCATTCCAGTCCACTGAATCCTAAAGCACTTACCCACCACATCTACTCTGAGGCTTAAACCCAATGAATGACTCATAAATACAAAAACTATACTGGCTTTCAAAACATTAATTCATTCATTGGAATTGGAAAGGGGGATGCTATAACACACAAAAAAAGAAAAATCCAGAGGACAATCTTGAGAAATTAACATGCTTTAGACATTATGCTTATTATCTCACTGAATCCTTGAACACCCTAATGCCTTAGGCTCTATTTTTATTTCCTTTTTAAAGATAAGAAAACTGAATCACAAAGTGATTAAGTTTACCTTCTTAACCATTACCCTATACTGCCTTCAGCTTTAAAAGCATGTAGCGAGGTAATTAAAATTAGATTCAGGCTTATCTTGTCAAATGTGTGACTGGAGAGTTTTGAGAAAGGGATCTCACTGTGTTCACTTTAAGTTAAGAAATGATTCATTATCTGTTTAGAGGGAAACAGAGACACATTTATATGATGCGGTGCTTCAGTTTTCACAGTGGAAGCAAAGATTTGCAACATCAGAACGCATACTACATGTACTCTGATTGCCTGTTCATTTCCTCATTCATCCAGCAAGCATTCCTGGATGCCTCTCTGTGACCTGTCCAGGGCATGGGGAAGCAGTGTTGCAAGTCTGGCTCATCGTGGAGCACATGTCCAAGTGAGGTTGAGGCAGCAAATAAATAAGTAAACAAATAGCAAGATTTCAGGTAGTGATTGCATAAAAAGCAAACAACAAGGAAATAAACAAATGGCACTGGGCAAAGGATGGAGACTGGTGAGGTCAAGGTAATGGATTTTAGGAACCACACACCAACAGGATCGCACTGCATTTCAACATCTCCTTAAATTCTGTACATTTGACTTGATGTCAAATCATTTTATTCACAGAGCTGCAAAAACTCTTTCAAAACCTTTATGTGACAGAAAGTTACACGAACTTTAAGGCTAATTTCTGCAACTCTTTGCCATCTTCCGTAATTCCCAAGTTTACTCTGAATTTGTCCAGCTTTTTACACAGTCTTTAAATATTCTTAAGTGAACTAGTTTTTGTTTTATAAAGTTAATGATTTTTTTGTAGCACTGTCCAAAAGCTTTTGACAGTAGAACCTCACTGTGAAGAAAACAATGTGTTGTGACATCAAGAATTTGGTTGTTTAATTTGCTAAGGTTTTTGTTGATGTTGTTTTCTTTTTTACAATAGAGGCAAAAATCTCTCATGAGGGCACTATCTGTATATATTCTCCAACAGTTTCTCTAAGATGGAGCTTTTGTTGCCAGATATGAAGGCAAAACATTAAATATATCATGGCCTTAGTTTATTTAAAGCACCCATGCTCAGCAGGAAAATAATTACTTAAATTTTACTACCATTTACATTAGTGAGATCTGTTAACTATTAACTTGATGGAGAAGCTGTTCTTTAGTTTATTACAGAAATTCTCCTCAGCATCATGTGACATGTCATCAGTATGTTGAATAACTACTGTCTGAGAGCAAAATCTCCCCAGATCTCCTGCACTGCCCCGGCATTCTCACTGTGTGCTCACCCCAACTTACGTTACCAAGCTCCATTACTACAATCGCGTCCATTGCTTCACTCTGCCTTTCCTGGTCAATAAATTCTGCTGCTAAATAACTTGTTTCCTTTGCCTTTTCACAAATGTGACTTTTTTCCCAACAAAAGCTTTACTCTATTTGAGATTCCAATAGCCCTTTAATATAATGAACACCATTATTGTCAAATGGCTGTGATTTGCAGTTAAGTGTTTTCAGTTGGCCAAAGCAAGTGTCTGTAAGTTGTTTGCCACTGATGCTGAGCAGTGAACAGTACAATTGGGCCTGTGGAAAATTCACGATAAGTAGCCTTCACTGTAAAGACAGAATTCTTTTATGTCCTGCATTACATAAGAGCAGTGAAATGACACAAAATATTATAATTCTTTATCATTTACCTCATCGAATTGTCTGTAGACCTAGATCTTGCAAACTCCTGTTCTGCAGCTTATCTTTAGAAATCACCTGGTTGGACCATCTGACATGTGTGCATGACATAAATGCTAAAAAGAATAAATAAAACAGAGGACATTTCCATAACTAAATGAGTAGCTTGGGGAAAATAGAACTTCACAATACTACTAACATGTAAACCTGCACAATCCACATTTTGCAACATATACAGTGATGGCTAAGTGTCGTGATGCCAGCTTGGTGATGGCACATAAAAATTTCTTCTTTAAAATTAAAATTTTGGTTTAATATTTTATTGCAAAGTACAGCTTATCTACTTTTGTGAGCCATTTGGCAACATGTTAAGGGAAAGTTGGGCAGGTAATTCAGGAAGAAAAGAAGCACCATCAGTATTGCTCTTGCCATTTACAAATACTCTCCAGTCTCATGTGAAACACAGAATGGACATAGCTA